ACCACTCAGCTTGGTGTCATCTGCAAACTTGCTGAGGGTGCACCCGATCCCACTGTCTATGTCATTGATGAAGATATTAAACAGTACCGGTCCCAATACGGACCCCTGCGGGACGCCACTCGTCACCAATGTCCATGTGGACATTGAGCCATTGACCACTACCCTCTGGATGCAACCATCTAACCAATTCCTCACCCTTTACCGGACAGTCCACTCATCAAATCCATACCTGCCCAGTTTAGAGAGAAGGATGTTGTGGGGGACCCTGTCAAAGGCCTTACAGAGGTCCAGATAGATGACATCTGTAGCCCTTCTCGTGTCCACTGATGTAGTCACCCCATCCTAGAAGGCCGCTAGATTAGTCAGGCAGGACTTGCCCTTGGTGAAGCCACACTGCCTGTCTCGAATCACCTCCCCGTCCTCCATGTGCCTTAGCATAGCTTCCAGGAGGATCTGTTCCATGATCTTCCCAGGCAGAGAGGTGAGACTGACTGGCCTGTAGTTCTCTGGGTCTTCCTTTTTTCCCTTTTAAAATATATAAATATAGAAAACTATTTTTGTTGAGATCTGAACCTTATTGACTGCCAGTATGAGTGATCAGTACAGGTCTCTTAGCCGGTTATGAATCATGGTAGTAGCATTGTAATTTTGTGGTGTATTTGAGTCAAAAGGACAAAAGCAAGTATGCACAGAAGTGCACTTTATATAGAAATCTGAACAGATGCTGAATTTAGAGTAACTTTTGGTTGGGAATTGAGTATTCTTAGTATACATATAGGTCAGTGTGAACATGTTGGTGCCTCTTGGAAAATTAATCAGATAAATTGCAGGGAAATAGTTAATAAAGTCTTGGATGTTTGAAGCTGCCAAATACTTTCCTTCCTAAAATCTGCTTGTGTTGTTTTTGAGGAAACACTGGAGGAACCAGATATGAGCTGAATAGGGAAGGAAAGCCATCCGTTTTCTGCATAACCTTGCATTTCAGGCAAGGCTGAGCACAGATGTACCCTTAAAGGTTAAGAGTGCTTGCCTGACATGGGTATGCCTGCGCTAGGCCTCTTCCACCTGAAAGGGTTTGAATTTACAGCTTGCATGTTTTGGGCAAGTGACCCAGCTGTCATACTCGCCAGCATTTTAGAACAAGGTGCTTTTCATTCCTCTTACTGAAGCAGGGCTGCAATGCATCCATAGTTATACAAGCCACAAAACCAGAAGGGATCAAGCTGAAGGAAGAGCCTTCTCTTCACTGGGAGGACGCAGCGGCAGTCCTTCCTTCCTGTATTTCCATAGGGGGAGTGGTGCAGAGTTTATAATAGAAGAATTATTTATCTTTAGGTCCACTGTTTTTTCAGACTTTGTGTAAACTGTTGTTGTGTAATAAACTGCCAGACGTATTTGTCCTTTGAGATTTTTGGGGTTTGCACCTACCCTTCTGTGGAAATGAGGCAGCCCAAATCTTTTGACCTTACTGCGTTCATAGACAAGATTTTAAGTATATGTTAATAAATAAGTATGCCGTAAAAGAACTCATCTCTGTCTTTAGTCCACAGTATTTCAAATTAATTGAAGAGTGTGTGTCCCAGATAGTGTTACATCGAAGTGGAACAGACCCAGATTTCACGTATCGTAAAAGATTAGATATAAATTTCAGCCACTTAGTAGGTAAGTACTATGTTTAGAAATGATTACAGTATCATATTCTTTATATGTTCCAAAAACCAAGTTAAAGTTATACATGTGATTAAGAATCTTGTGTATATATGCAAGTGTGTTTGTTTATTTTTTCAAGATATTTGTGTAGATAAAGCAAGATTAGAAGAATGTGAAGAGAGGGCTTCTGAACTTTCCAGAAAAGTGAGTAATTTTTAAGTTATGTGATCATAAGATGGACACAGGGGATTACTTAATAGCGTCATAAGTGGTGTAACTGAATGTGGCATAGTTTTTAACTTCAAATTACTATTAGTTCTATGTTTAAGTGGGAATTTGGATGTTTCTTGTGGACTAGGAAGCAGAGAAAAGTGGTGTAAAGTAGATAACCTTAACTGAGAGTCTTTCTGCTCTTTATTTTAAGGTTTCATGTACAAATCTTCCAAAAATCAGCTGAATACTTTATTTGAACAGTTATCAGTTTCTTCAACAAGATAAACAGTGGGAGAATAAGAATTGACTCATTTGTATCTACAGACTCTGTATTACTGTACATCAATTTTTTTTAAGCTACTCTGTCTAATTCCAACTTAAAATACGTTAAGTACTTTATGCCATTTCATATAGTAAAGACTTGTAGTGGTAATAGAGATGGTACTTCCACTGAGTGGATACATGGAGGTTAGAATAGCAGATATGTTGTATGTGTCCTTAGTATTGTTAACATGTGAGTTTTAATGAACACAAAAGGAAAAGTTGGAATCTAAAGAAACTATGCAGAACTGACTAGTATCAACAACTTCCTTTCTATTTTTTTTTTTTCCTTAGTTTGAAAAAGATTTTGTAGTTCATCAGGAGACCCAGGCCTTACTGCAAAAAAAAGAAGAAAGAATCAATGAACTTGAAGCAGAATTACAAGCTTTTAAATCACAGGTATAAGACAGTTTAAATGAATGTATGAAGTATTGTTTTTGAAAGGGACTTCATTTTGCATCTTTTGTGGATTCTGATAGTACAGTTGAAGGTGGTTTTTAAAGAATCCTTGTTATTGATTATTATTGACTGTTAGTTTCCTTTATTTCTATTTTATGCAAAGAACTGTAGTGTGAATTTAATTAGCTGTTTGAGTTCCCGGATGATCCTTCTTGTGCCTGAGCTTTGTTAATTAAACTAGTGTCTTATGTTTCATTTGGGTTTTGCTTTCAGTGTCGTATATTTCCAAAGTAATTAACCACATAGGGTAATAAGTCTTATGCTTTTAGATTAGCATTCATCACTGTGATCTTTATCCCTCCACAGGAAATTACTCATTATGCAGTTTGCTTTGCTGAAGCCTTACCATGGATATCCAGCAGTGAAAGAAAGAACCTGTGGCTGGATAAGAGCATTTCCTGATAATTTTTCAATTTTCAAGCATAAGTAGATATTTTAAAATGTGATGGAGAGGAATAGTGCAGATTTTTGAGAGTAATACTTGAGTTAACTTGTAACCGCTTCAGCTCTAAAATCTGTGTAAGGAGTCTGTGTGATCAAGTTTTTTTTTTCCTGTGTCTTATTTCCTGGAATAAGAAGCACAGTCTAAAAGCGGCTAAAGACAGACAACATTGGGAAGACATGAATATAGGAAGGTGATAAAATATATGTTTTAATCATAGAGGGTTTTTTTTATACTTTTGAGCTTGTTTAATTTTCTTAGTGAGGAAAATTAGTTTAGCTCTGCTTTAGTCTGCTTAAAAATGTCATTCTAATTCAAGTTTCTGGTCAGAATTACCTGTTAATGTCAAAGTCAAACAGGCTTTAAAAAAAGCAATTACAAGAATTGTTGCACTCTAAAAAAATAATTTTAGTAAGAGCTGTGTATCATTCATTAAGTTAGTATTTTTATGTGTGTATCTTGAAAACATACTGAAATACCTTCTGTGAGTGAAATAGGTTTTCTGTCCTATTTTACATTTTCTTTTGTTCACTGTATTAAATATAACTTTTTTTTTTTACATGCAGACAGTGAGCATAACATGATTATGCTCACTAATTAACATACCATAAATTATCCCACTGTTAATGGAATACTTGGAATGCTTTGTAAATATCAAGTAATTGATTACTGCAACTTAATACTCTTAAATCCGTCTTAAGAGGAGTCTTTGGTTTCCATATGGCATCAGTTGCTACTTAGCATGGCTACTTCCACCTCTTAGGACTATTTTTTTCGTGGTCTTGTTCCTTTACTCTTTTGTTGTATTTGGTATTTGTTCATGTATTGCTTTTTCACTATTAGAGCCTAATTGTTCAGCTTCTACTTGTCAGTTTAAACAACGCCTATGTTCAGGAATTCAAAACAATAATACTATTGTGCATGTATTTATTTGTATTTATTGATATTGAGCTATTTCATTTTAAAAATATTAAATTCTTTGCTTATTGTATTTCCCTCCATTTTTTAAAAATAAAATGGACTGTTACAGCTCATAATTATCAGTTGAAAAGTTGATTAATACTATCACCAGTAGATAAATATTTATTTATTCTTTTGTTGTTTTTGTCAGGTACCTATTTATTAATGTTTGGAGGCCTATGATAAAAGTTCTTCAAATAGTAGAAATAAATATATTTTTTTAGATTTACTGAAGTGCTAATAAGTTTATCTTGATACAGTATAGATTTCCTTTCTATATAGAATAAGAAGTCAGTGTGTAAGGCAGTTGTATTTTTTGGAAGGATTTTTTTTCATCATTACTTTGTTCTTTCAATTCTGTAGAATGAGAATGCTCTTATATTGGAAGATACCTGTTTTTCTACAGAATTACTAATCTCTTCAGGTTCTGCTATTATGTCCTTGGAATGTTTCTCTGTAATCTGCAGGATAAGTAAGAACACTAGCGACTAGGATGTTGGTTTTTTTTTAATTTGAGCTAAACTGTGGTAGTCTAGATAAAATCTCTTCAAGATACCTATCAGACCCTTCCTAGATCATGATCGGTGAAATATGACAAGTGGGATATAGCATTTCAGTTTGTCATTTTTGGTGTGCACCCTCTGGTCTGAATATCCACTTCAAATGTTGAGACTTCCAATTTTGAAATGAAAAGCACGTTGGCCTCATTATAAGTGATATTTGATGGTCTTATACAAGAAGAATGGCACTGACTTCAAATTGGCTTGCTGGATTTAATGTATAAACTATGATTGTTATGGCATTTTGTTGATTAAAAAATATGAAACTGAATAAGAATATTTTCCTTATCAGTATGGCTCCTTGCCACCTGGTTTTCTACCCTCAACACGTGGAGATGCATCTGTCGTTCCACTGGAAGCTGCAGGACCGCATCAACTGCCACCTCCTCCTCCTCCACCGCTGCCTTCTAATGGACCAATTCCACCACCACCACCTCCCCCTCCTCCTCCACCACTTTTGAATGGTTTGGGAATTCCTCTGGCTTTTGGTGGTGCTCCTCCACCACCGCCTCTACCAGGCCTGCCTGGAGCACAGTGGTCTCCACCTTCATGTACTTTGCCGTTTGGAATGAAGCCTAAAAAAGAATTCAGACCTGAGGTTACCATGAAAAGACTCAACTGGTCCAAGGTAGTACTGATTAAAGGCAAACACTTGATGTAAAATCTTACATAGAGCTTAGTGTAAATAGATCGTCAGGAGTAAGACTATACAGAGCAATTGATACGTTAGTTAAAATTATGTAAGATATGAATACATTCTGCCTTTAGTTTTCATTGTTTTCTGAAGACTATTGTGTTTCACTGACTCATGTATCATCTGGACAAGTATCTGTTGACTTTCTGAGATGCCTGGAAAAGTCATTTCTACTCTAGAATAATACAACCTTGATACCAGCATGCTTCCTGGGTCCTATTGTCCCTTGTCTTTTAGCAAACTGTTTGCACTGGATCAGTCACTGCAGTGTACTGATAGCTATACAGTTTCCAAACAAGTGTCTTGCATCTGTCTGGCCTGGACTGTGGAAAGAAGCATTGCAGGTCTCTCCATTTGTCCTTAATGTAAATGTACTTATGTAAATTTAATTGTTGAAAAAAATATAGAGTCCATTTATTTTTCTTTTTCTTCTCCATTGTGACAGAATCAAGTATGCCAGGACTATCAGTCTACTGAGTTTTGGAAACTATAATTATTTAGACCAAAATAAGTCAGTAAAAATATTTTCAGAGTTTTATGAAGCAATCAAAGCTACACTCTAAAAAGTGAGGTACTTAATGTCTAGTTAAACCAGCTGTGTTCACAGACTATTTAAAGTTTACTTAAGTTTTAAATCTGGAGCAAATATAATTTGCTACATTTAGACCTTGGACAACAGAGTATGTTCTCTGTATTGCTTTGTATTGTTAGAATCAATTTGTCCAAAAGCACTTACTGTAAGCAATATTATCTTCAATCAGAAATATATTAACAATTCTAAAGTTATATACCAAAAGTTCACGTGTTTTACAGAGCTCTTAAGTATTTAATTTGGTTTAGACTCTACAGAGCACAGTCTCTGCATAGTATCAACATAATTTAATTAATAAAATCTTGTTTTGTCTCTTGCTTGTAGATCAGGCCTCAGGAAATGACAGAATCCTGTTTTTGGGTTAAGGCGGAAGAGGACAAGTACGAGAATGCTGACATGCTTTGCAAATTGGAACTTACATTTTGTTGTCAAAAAAGGGGTAAGTAAGTGGTTGTTTTAATTTTCAGCTTTTAGAGATATCTTTAAAATTCTTGGGGCTTAAATATTATATGAAAAAAATCAGAATATAACATTAATCTTCTGATTTTTAAGTGGAATGTGTGAAGAAAAAAGTTTGAAAATCCCCGACTGCTTAAAGCAGTAATATTGAACTATTTTACTTAAAGGGTGACAAAAATTATGTGACCTATAAGGAAAAGCTTACCAAAAACCCCAACAAATGCTTCCGGATAATATAGACTTTTATTCAGTCACGTTTGAAAAAATATTTATAAGACTTTGGCAGAATACCTTAATAAAATAGTGTGACCTAATCTAGAGTCCAGAAGATGATGTGTTTACCCTCAGAATGCATATGGTAATTGATGTGTTTTGGTTCCATGAAGGAAGAGAGTCTTTTAATGAAAGTTTTTACTTTCTGATAAACCTGTAGCAACATTGATCTCCTTTGATATTTTGCTTAGCTTCTTCAGCTTTTAAAGCCTTGTGGAGGAGCAAAATACTTGACACTATTCCTGGCTTTAAATCTTTTCTCCCTTTCTGGAAGTAAGTTGTCTCACTAGTAGTTTCTGACCCATATATAAAATGTCTATATTTCCACTGTTATTTCTTCACACTTTTCCGCGTCGCGTGTCCCCCCCCGATTGGTATCAGAGACTTAATACTTTGCAGCAGCCAAAGACATGCAATGATGAATTCCTTTTCAAATTGAAAAGGCATTGTTATATTTTTTAGTTTGTTTTACAAATTTCACTTTGATATTTTTATTTAATATAGTGCATGGCATTCTCAAGTTTCTTTTTTTTTTTTTTTTTTTTGGTATGCTTTGGTGTGTATTACAAAATTTTCTTTTTACCATAACCAAGAACTTTATTCTGCTCTTGTCAAAAGAGGCTTTATGCTCTAGCAGTATTTCTACCGAGTTGAGTACTACAGTTTATTACTGTTGATACTTAATAATATTAAGAATGTTGTACAAAGATAAAAAGGCAAGAAAACCTCACAGACCATAGACATTTTTGCTTGAATCTATTAGAATAAGTCTAAAAGATAATTGTGGTGCCTTTATAATGTTAGGAGAATTCCCAAGAATGTTCCCTGAATTAATAGGTTGGAAGGTTTAAAAGCCGCTGGAGGAAATACTGTTTCCTATGTGTAATTAAACAGTAAAATTTGGGAGACAAGATGGTGTTCAGGCCAAACATGTTAATGGCTCAGAAGAGGATTGTGAATCTCCACAGACAGCGAGGACATTAGAGTTAACAAGATTAACATTCCTTCAAAGTTTAACTGAATGGACTGAATACATTCAGTTAAATGTATAAAACTGAATGTTTTGACCAAACCTAATAGAAGAGAGTTATTGGATCTACAGTTGAAAAATCAGTGAAGTATACTCTTATACCAAATGGGGGGGGAGAGGGGAGGTATTTAAAAGGCTATAGCCTGCAGGGACAAATTTTAATTTTTTTTTTACAGGTGGAGCTTACTGCTTAATCTTTTTTTAAGTTTTGAAATCTCTCTCATCTCACATGGGTGATATAAGTGTGCCATCATCTTAATTTTTCAAAGGAAGTGAAGACACTAAAGATTTTATTTAAAACAGCAAGTAGGTGTCTAAAGGGCAACATGGAACTAAATTTCATCTTCGTTCAAGTGCATAGTTTACAGAAATTTGCATGAATGCTTAAACACATAAGTAGACAGCAGCAGGCATCTCAGTGTCTCTTATTAAGAGCATGTACAAAGGACAGCAAAGTAATTACTTTTGCTCTCATGACCACGGAGAGAGTGGATGATTTTTTGTAGCTTATATGTAACTTATTGATTATAACAAAACTTGCCAAAGAAATTGGAGGCATCCAGTTTTCTTCACTTCTCAATCTTGAAGAGATTTAACACCATGCTTTCTGAAGTAGAATCGGGAAGCTATTCACTAGACTCAGTCTGGGAACAGTCCTTGACTATTTCTAAAGCTTTGTCTCTAAAACCAGAAGGATGAGAAGTTGAAAATGATTCCGTAGCCAAATGACAGCATGCAAAGAATGATCTGGTTTCCACTCTGTTGAAGGGTCTGCTTATGCACTGTCTTCATTGAAGTCATTGTGTAAGAAGAGGTATCTAGCTGTGTAAGCAGGGACCAGAATGTTCGTTCAATAATGCTTTAAGTGAATTTTATTCTGATTGAGTAAAATCAGATTGAAGTACTCAAATGTTCAGTTGCTGCATTCTGCCAGCTGATGTGCCAAAAGTATTTCAGAGTTGATCCAGAAGAGGAAGTCTTATGTGCATGTAAATAATCCACTGAGGAATTTCTACAAGAAAAAGGAATACAGAACAGTATAGAATAGATTTGAAGCTTTAGCAAATGTTTGTATAGATGTTATAAATCATGTTGATTCTGAATGGGTATTGAAGCAATTGAAATAACTGGAGATGTTATGGGGGTATGAAAGAAACATTACTGCAAGAATAAAAATTAAAAGAGAGTCTAGCTTGAAAGTGTAGGAAAAACGGTGAGTAGTAACACGAAGCAAAGACTATGCATGGAGAAAAAAAAAAAGACTTTTATTGAGGATGTCCGGAGACAAGTCAGAGACATGTTCTTGAATCATGGAATTATTTAGTTTGGAAGGGACTTCTGGAGGTTGTCTGGTCCAATCCCTTTTGTAAAAGGAGAGTCAGCCTAGTTCATGTTGCTTGGGGCTTTGTCCACCTGAGTTTGAGATATCCCTAAAGAAGGAGATGTATGGATGGACAACCTATTGTTGTTTGTTACCATTGTGGTGAATTTTTTTTTCATAACATCTTCTTGGAATATCTCTTGTTGCAACTTATGTCTGTTGCCTCTTGCTTGTTGTGCACCTCCAAGAAGAATCTGGTTCCCTCTTATTTATAGCCTTCTGTTAGGTAGTTTGAGACAGCAGTGAGTTCCCTTGCCCTTTATCCTTCTCAAGACTGACAGGTGTCTCAGCTTTTCTGTCTGCATCTTATCTTTCAGCCCTCTAATCTTGATTTTCCACTGTACTCGTTCCTATGTATCTATATTTTTCTTGAAGGGGGAGCCCCAAACTGAAAAAGTACTCCAGATACTTCTCCCTGAGAGAGAAGGGGAGTAGAGGGAAATAATCACTTCTTTTACCAAGACTGTTGTCAGCAGGTCACTTACTGGAGGAAATGTTTTCACTGTGCTGCTTGTTTAATAACAATAATGAAGGCAATGGTGATAAAGATGAGGCCATGTAAAGGGCTATGGGTGGTATAGGGTATTTTCTCTTAATTCTTTTACTTGGTATAAAGCTGTTTTTGTCACTTGCCAGAAATCGAATCATTTTGTGAAAGCAACGTGTTTTATAAAAATGAAAAAATTGATCTGGAACAATGAGAAGTATCAAAGCATCAAATGCAGATGGTATTCTTGTAGCAACTTACTGAAGACAAAGTGTAATTTATTTATTGACTCAGAATTTATTCTTATCTCAGAATAAATTTGTAATCTTAAATCTAAGATTATATATATGAAAGAAGTAGGCAAGGGCGTAAAGGAAAACCAACTCCTTTGTCATAAAACCGTATAGATTTATTGCTACACAGGGAATGTGGGAGCAGAATATTAGTTCAGAATCTGGAAATACAGGTCAGTGTGTGGATGGAATATTTTCAGTGTGGATACTTGAGAAAAGATTTGATTGTGACTGAAAAGTGTACATACATTTAAATATTTGCAAGAAAACATGAGAGTTTATTGCGAGATGCCCCAAGAAACAAACAAACAAAAGACTCTGGAACCCTCAAATCATTAGCTTTGTGTCAGCATCTGAAAGATTAAAAGTAAGGTGTGAAATCTGCCTTAAAGTCATCGGTGTGGAAGTAAGGTATGCTCCGTGGCGCTCTCCCTGGCTGAGGCGGGGCAGGGGAGAGAATAAAAAAGTAATTGAGGAGTTCTGAAAATAAGATGATGAATATGAATGGTTTGCATGAACGATCTTTTGGTTTTCTGATAACTTTTATTTTTAAAGGCAAAAAGAAGGATTTGTATAAAGGGTAGTTAGAGGCTTGAAAGAGAAAGAAATAGTAAGAAATATCAAGTGTTTAAGATTTATCAGGATTATACTCATGGTTGCAGATCAATGAAGAAAATCTGTGAAAAGCCTTTTTGGCAACAATGGTATCAAAGGAATCTCTTACTATAATTCTTTGAAAACATTAAACTGAATATATGACAAAGTTAACTGGTATGTGAAATACTGAGCAGCAGAGCTGGAGCAAACTTTATATGTGCTTTTATATTCTCTTAAGCCTAAAAGATAAGATGAACAAGCAAAAATGCTCATTATCGAATGACAACTGCTTTGTAATAGATGTGTTGGAAGCCTGGTGGAAGGAGAATGATCACTGGTGTATGGTGATAATATGCTGCCAACTTTGCCAGAATGATTAGACATACAGACAGGGGAGTGGCAGTTTGCATAAAAAGTAGGATGAAGTGTAGCAGCATGAAAATCTTGGGGGGGAAAGAAGCCTACTGGGCGAAACCTTGTGAATGGAAATTCCCTCTAATAATATAATATTATGCTGTATTAATAGCTCTTGGATCAGATGGTGTTTGTGATGAGAAAATGTTAAGTGAGATTAGAGAAGCTTCAAATTTTGTGGCAATAAAGTGGGAGATTTAATCGATTCCTCATCAGGATGTTACGAGAAGATAAAAGCTTTCATGCAACAAATTGCTGTTTCCAATATTCCTGTAACCAATGCAAAAGGGAGTTGTTTTAGGAATGGGTTTGAGTCATGCACAGGACCTAGGAGATCAGAGTAGGAGGGCATGATCACTTTCTTAATGTTGTACCAAGAGAGAACAATCCAAGTAAATCTATTATGCAGGTATTCAACTTCAGGACAGGGAACTGAATGAAAGAGGCAGATGGTCAAGCAAGCAAGATACCCATGCTAACCAGCAACCCAGAGGCTATTCTGAAA